CCCCTTCAAGCACTAGCCAAAGCAGGTAAGAACTGAAACTGATCTGAGGCATCTACATACAAACAGTGGCTATACTTTGGATTTTCTAAGAATATTCTGTGGTCTCCAGGAACCAATTTCTCTAAATTCCAATACTCAGGAAGTCAAACTAAATTTCCATATAAAAAGCCCATGTGATATCATGATATATTTGCCAAAACCCATATAATGTAAAACACCAAGAGTGAACCCTAATGTAAACTGAATTTTGGGTGATAATGTGTCAGTGTAGGTTCACTGATTGTAACAAATGTACCATATTCTGATGCAGGATATTGATGGAGTGGGCAGGGGGAGGGCAGGGTGCAGTATGTGTGAAAAGGGGTACATGGCAACTCTGGCAGGGCTGGACTCAGACCCTAGATACTCTTTCTCATATCTGAGTGCTGACTCCAATTCACACTGCCAACAGTTCGCTCTTGAGAAGCCACACTCTCATGCTCAGAAGCTAGGTCTGACACAGCTACCTCTTTAAGAAGCCAAGATTAGCTCAGGGCTAGGCTGAGTAATGAGATACAAAGTGCTCTGGGAATCTGTGGGTTCCCAGCATAACTAATGAGTACTATCAACTGCATTCTGTCCAAGATACGGCCAGACAACTCCAAGTGGCCAGCAGCTCTTTTCAAAATGCAGAGGCAACAACTAGAGGAAGAATATTTCTGCCCCTCCCTATACTACTGCTTTGGGAAATTTACATTTTATATAATCGTTATTTAAGGTCATTGGTGGTGGTTTTTTGTTTGTTCAGTTTCATTAAAGGTTAATGTCACTTGGGAAGCTCTATAATGTGGTGGAAAAAATAAGGGCTTTGGAATCAAGTTTTGGTTCAAGTCCCAGCTCTGCTACTTCCTTGCTATGGCCAACAGACAAGTCATATACCCTCTCAAAGCCTAAGTTTTCTCATCTATAGTGTTTCTTAAGAGTTCAGGATGTCCCTTCAGTGGGTTGTAAAATCAATTTAGTGGCTCATAAGTAACTTTTTTTTAAAAAATAAAAAAATAAAAGAGAAAATATCAGATGACACTACCTATAATAAGCATAAGTACTATTTTATGAAAGTGAGGTTTCAGGTACATGTAGATATTGATATATAGATACATAGATATAAATATGTGTATAACAAACTATAATATAAACTACCTTTCTTACATTGGATAATGGTCAAAAAATTTGAAAGTCAAAAAATTTGACCTATAAAATGAAACTATCGGGTATGTGTAATGTTATTTCTGTGTTTTTCAGAACATGAGAATTTGAAAAAATAAAATAATGTGGGCCAAATGTTAGCAATTAACCCAAAGAGAGTCAGAATATCTGAATACTTTATTTGAGAATACTGGAAAAGTTCCTCTTTATCTGTCAGTTTAAAATTCCTATCAGAATGCCTTTAAGTATATCATATAAATGAAACAGCCATCATCATTGCCAAGATGACGTCCTTCTAAATTACTGATAAAGGAAGATCAGGTCTAATTAAAAACTGGATTTTATCTTAAATTAATACAGAGACCCAGCCTGCACGAGCCTACCCAGACAACAGTCACGTGTGAAATCACCCAGAAGCAACTTCTGTCAGACAAGCCCTCACTGGGGGTAAGAGCAATAAAACCAATATCAGTCCCAGAACTGTTCTAAAAGAAATATTCTGCTAGGTCACCCAGAACTGGACAGTAACATGGGAAAGCCTTGGCAAAGTCCCCACCTGGGGAAGGACCCCAGTTAAAGGTGGTGTCAGGAAGCCACAGGAACCAAACACAGACAAAACTGCACAGAGGGACTTCTTTGGCCTGTGGAACAAATTACTCTTCTGCTGAAAATCTTCCAATTTCCTACCATTTGGAAAAAAACAAAGTTGGGAAAGAAATACAATTGAGAAAAAATCCAAATTTCTCATCACAGCTTGCAAGGCCCCCATCCCACCTTTCCAACATTACCACCTCCCTGCATTCACTCCACTTTAGACATATTACCCTTTCTGCTCCTCAGACACACCAAACTCAATCCTTTCTTTCAGCTCTTGCTCTCACTGCCCAGATCACACTTTCTCTAGCTCTTTGTATGCCTGTGTTCTTCTCATCATTTGGCACGCAGAAGTGTTCCCTGACTATTTCCTCATTAAAGGAGTTCCCCACCCCACCCCCACGGTGTTCTCCATCATCACATTATCCTATTTTATTTTCTTCACAGCATGAGTTCCTAGTTTCCTTTTTTTCCTGCCTCCTCACCAGAATGCAAGCTCCATAAGAATCTTTTCTGTTTTGGTCTCGACTCTCTCCTTAGTACCTAGAACAGTGTCAGTTATTCACATGTACATGTGTACATACCTATACAGATATATGTGTATGTCTGTGTATGTAAATGCCAAATGAATGAAGAACATCAGTGCATTCATTCTAGTGCATTCCATTTAACTGCACTTTCAAAATAACATAGGAAAGAAAACGTACATATATCAGAATACCTGCAAACTGAGTTCAACAAGGAGTTGTTCAGCTTTCCTCTGAACATCCACTCATGAACCATCTCTATCATAGGGCTATAGCTCCTGATGCCCAGGTGAAAGAATATTTGATTTGGAATCAATGCTTAGGCTAAATCTCCTGTTTCCAAGCCCAGTGATCGTCACCCGACTAGGAAGTTTGCCTCTACCATAATGGCTCAGGAGCCAAGAGAGACAAGGATTCAAATCTCAATTATATCTTTACTTGCTATGAGGCCTTATACAAATTTCCTCATCTAGTAAATGAAGATAACAGTACTTATAGGGCCATTTTTAAGATTAAATAAGCGAATGTATACAATACATCTGGCATAGTGTCTGGTATATAATAAAAACCAATTAAAATTAACTATTATTTTATTGTTATTCATTCATTCGTATTTTTCCCAGCTAATATTTATTGAGATCTATTTTGCTATACAGGTCCTATGCCTATACAACAGGCAAAGGCACAAGTCAAGAGAGGTTGGCTATAGTCCCTGCCCAGGAAAAGCTCACAGTGTAATAGGAAAGAGAACCAATAAGAATAAAAGAATCACCAGGAGTATACTATGTATTAAGTCTCATCCAGGAAGGCTCTAGAATAAAAAGGCACACCAAAACCCTTCCAACTTATAAAACAGAACAGCTTCTGAGATGGATCAGAGTAGCTCTGTAAAGAAGCCCTCACAAGATTGTGAAAAGAATGGTCAAGAGTGATTGTCTTAACAGCCAAAAGATGGAAACAACTCAAGTATCCATCACAAATGAAAAGAAAACTAAAACCTGGCACATACATATAACAGAATATTATTCAGCCTTAAAAGGAGGAAACTACGACACATGTCATAACATGGATGAACCTAGTGGATATTATGCTAAGTGAAGTAAGCCAGTAACAAGAAGACAAATTCTGCATGATTCCACTTACATAAAGTATTCTGCGTAGTCAAATTCACAGAGACAGAATGTGGCTGATGGTTGCCAGGGGCTAGAGGAAGGGAGGAATAGGAAGTCAGAGTGTTAGGTACAGAGTTGTGGGAAAAAGATGAAAAAGTTCTGGAGATGTGTGGTGGTGATGCTTGCACAGCAATGTAAACATACTTAATGCTATAAAACTGTACACCAAAAAAATGGTTAAAATGGTAAATTGTTATTTTATGTATATTGTACCACAATTTAAAAAAAAAAAAAAAACAATGATTGTCCTGTGGCTTACAGTAAGAGAACACATGCATCCCCTCTTCTCTAACCCGGATCATTCTTATATCTGGTAGCAAGCTTATCGACCCAGCTTTCCTGAGGTTGAGACGTGAGCAGAATTCCGGGCCAGTCCTCGTATAGAGGACACTGTAATGTAATCAACAACTAAGGAATTATAAGTACACAAACACCCAAACCCAGATTTACAGCAAAATAGACAAATGCAATACACTGACCATGGGTTTATTTTCACAGGGGTAAGAGAGGCAAAAAAATAGACCAAAGTATCTGTATGTCTAAATATCAGACTATAGGATTATACAAGCTAATTCCTAAAGAGGTAAGAAAGTCCCCAGAAAAAAAAAATAATTAGTCCATGTAGATTTCATATATCAGTGCCAAGGTCTCATAATACAACTTTATTGCTTCATTTTTTAAAAGTGTTCATTTGCATTGAGCAAAGCAACTTTCACAGACTAAGCAAAAATATCAAAACTGACAGTCCTATATAATGACCGGTTTCCCAGAGGCCCAGAAAGATGGGAAATAAAATCCAAGGACCCAAGTTCAGACAGTCTGGAGAGAGTAGACTGTGGCTGTCTCACATGATTAAAGGCCATGTCACCACTTGATGGGGTCTATGCTTTGGTAGCTTTCCCCCGAACGACTGAGGACTAGGATAAGAGTGACAGCTTCGTTCCAGTATGTTCAAAGACTGCAGAATCCAAAACTTAACTTCTCAGCCGTTCACTCATCCGATTTTCATTAAGATCAATTTATATCGTCTAGAAAGCCTCAAAGTCAAATGCCACTTTTATTTTTACCTTATCAAAGAAAACACCTTACCATAAAATCAAGGCCAGGGTGTTGTCTGGACATGAGCCTTGGTTAGGATCACAAAATTCTCAAATCGAATAATTGGTTTAAGTTAGAGCCAAGTTCATTAACAATAAGATGACAGATTTGGGCGAAGTAGGCTGTCTTCTTGCAGTTCAGAAAGACTAGCACAGCTCCTGACACAAGTACATAGGTGTAAGCAACCTCCACCAAACAAAAGCAACACCTTCAAAGTCTCTCTCAGTGACTAGAGGCAGCCAGACACTCAAACTGCCAGTCCTGAATTACGGCCTCTGAATGGTGAGGGCTTCACATTTCACTGATCAGGGCACAGCCCAATCAGAAGACAAACCCCTGCACTGCCAGGGACCAGCAAATCCGCTTTCTTCCAGTGTGCACATGACTGAATGTGCTTCTGTCCATCATCTGGGTCATATATAGTTCAATGCGAGCTGAGCAGACAGGGCTGCAAGGAAATCTGGCGCGGTTCAATACCTCGTCTAGCCTGGGTTCCAGTATCTAATTTTTTTTACTGACAAACTCATTTCTCTACTGGGACAGGATGCTGTGCTGGCTGGAAGTTCCATTTCGACAGCAAGAATCCTATCTGGAAACACAGAAGTTGTCCTCTAGCCACAGCAACTCGAACTTTTCTGATTGTTGTTGCTGCTTTCTCCCATCACCCCCACCCCCTTTTGACAAAGATCCAACTGTAAAAAGTCTTACGTAACAGTTCAGGACTACTTCGGTTCTTTTACTGGGTAAGCACTTTCAATTTTTTTTTTTTAACTAAAAACCATTATAACATTGAATCTGTTGAGAGGCTTGACTAAAATCTTTTAAGTAATTTGTGTAGTGAAATACTGTCAGTGGATTTTTTAGTCTCATTTCTGCACGTGCTCCTTTGTTCTCAGAACAGAAGCTTTTTATACACACCCCATAACGCAGCTGGAGAGAGTTATGAAGTCAGTTATTATAAGGAACACAAAGGTTGCTTTGCATTCTTTGCCTTTAGATAATTAATTTTGCATTTGTTTTCTTAAAACAGAGTATTTAATGAAGGGAGAAATTCACAAAAGAATAAACTGTGGGAGAATCTAGCAAAGTTTGAAGTTTTTACCACCTTTTCTATCTGTAGTTTTGTGTGGCCAAACACTTGTGCCGCCTGGGGCGTTGGGGGTAGAGGCAAGCATAGACAGAGAGGAACTAAGCCAGACATGGACAAAGGCATGAGCCAAAACCAGACAGTCCTGGCTGTTCGATAGGCCAGCAGTGGGTGAGACAGGTCAGCCAGCTGCAGGGGCGGGAGAAGGGGGGGAAAAGGGGCATGGATGTGTGAGGTGCTCATGCGTGCGATCGTGACTAGATTCTGAAACTGCCAGCCATTTTCCCATCTATGCTTTGTGCAATCTAAAGGAATGCATCTTCTCTGAAATAGTCTTGCTAGAGCCCAGTGATCGACAGGAGTGTGATAAATACCACAACATATGGAATCAGAAAATACTGGGATCTGGGGTGGGCAAGAGGGAATGCAGAGGGTGTGGAAATTTTTTAGTGATCTGGAATGTGTTGAGTGACAGGAAGTGCCCCAAGCTCCCCCCCAACCCAACTCTTCTCAGTCGCGCCTGCTTTTGTCTAACTCTTGTAATCTACATACTACTGCTTACAAAGCTGTCTGAGTTTAAGACAAAAAGAAACATAAAAGGCTCTCCATTCCATAGTACCTGTGATATGGAAGGAATGTAAAAAGCATGATCCTTCAAGCCTGTGGACATTTTTTCAGGTAGACAGGAGAAAGATAAAATAATTTTCCAAGAATGAGAATTATGAACTAGAGCCTAGCTTCCAAATGCGATTTTTAAAATCCTGATTCTGCTATACTTACAAATGCTTAAGTTGGTTCCTAATTTGAAGGAGGCTTGTTTTGTTTGGTAAATACACTGCATTTGAAGTTGTTTACATTTTCTTTGTATAAATTTGGACTTTGGGAGAAAAAACACAAATAAGCAGAATGCACTAAAAAAAAAGGAGGATTTTTCCCTTCATTGGTTGGAAAGCATTTTAAAGGGTTGGTTTCTGGGAAAAGGCAGCTAGCTCTCATTTTTGCATGTATGCTGTAAAGATAACTTATGCCATAACGAATGTAAGGTAGAAAACTTACGATAGAAAATAATAGTGTTCTAAGTGAAAAACAACTTAGCATTTTCCCAAACTTCCATATTATCAACCGAAACACTGAAACTTGGAGAAAAGTGGCCAAGTAACTGAATGGCTAATCCTCCTTTGGGGGGATGAAATGGAAAATTAAGTGTGAATAAAAATGATACTCAGGAATGTTTCCACCTCCCACCACAAAGGATGTTAGTGGTCAGCCTAGGAGTTAATCTTTCCTAGCGTGGCTCTGAGCCTTCACGCCGAGCAGACGTTATTCACATGACGATTCGAAAAGTCCATTCATATATCTCACTACCTGGATTTGAATAGAAACCAGACAGCAATTCTTTAGTTCCAGCCACCATTCGCCCCACTGGACAATAGCGATTTGTTAGCACAGAGTCACAGGCTGTGGGACACAAAGCTTGGAGCCGCAGAAAGATGGGGGATTCAGAGAACAGGAAATTACAGGCCCGATGCACTCCTGGCAGCTCTGAGAATACAAAAAAAAAAAAGGCAACACAGTGATGCCATGTTTGAGAGCTACTTCTAGCTTTTTTAACCACCTCCAATGTCATAAAAGCTCTATTGTTGGAGTACATAAAGTCACGAGTCCCATGTGCTCTCTTTTCTCATACAGGGAACTTCATTCAATGCCCTGGCACAGTCAGAGAAAAATCAAAAGCATCCCGAGTTGATTAGTTGTGAGTTCTGATAGAAAGGAGAGCCGTGTTTTACAAATAAAATGTCAGAGAAAAATATGCTTAATAACACAAGTGACACATAACAAAATTAAAATCTTTTACATATTATTTCACAAGACCAGACAATCAAAATGAAACCAAAATATATCTAAATACCAGGGAAATAATTTTTTCTTCAAAATACCACATAAAACCTATTACTTAATTACATCAAAAGTTTCCTTGGAAGATACTTATCAATTTAAAATCGAATCTTTCATAGAAAGTACATTTCTGAGTTCTGGGTTATATTTTCCAAAACAAAGAACTAAAATCAAAGCCCTAAGGACTTATTTTGGAATACCAGAAAACTATATTTTCTTTTGTTGATTATTAAGTTATTGTAGCTCCCTGGCTAAATTTAGAAATTGCCTCTACTTTCCTCATTTTAGACTTAAAAAATAAAATTAATGGACATGTTAGGTGAGGAGAGAGAGTTAATTCCCCAATCTCAATCAATGAGAAGAAAACAGTACATGGGTTTCCTGTCTAGGCCCTCATGTTGCAAACTAAGCACCAACAGGCCAGACTGCTGTCCTATTTCAACAGTAGGGGACCCTATATATGAAGCTGTAAATGATTTTATTTTTCTGCTTTCTTCTGTGATCCATTAGCAAACACAAATCCTAAATGATATCAAGTCCTAAATGATATCACACCTAGGATATTTATCAAAAGAGATCATGATGATCAAAAAGTTAGAAATCTTAACTGTTCTACTCTATTTGGTCCCATGGCTTTAAGTTGAATACATGCCAAAATTAATGTTCCTGAAAAACAAATCAGCAACTTCTAAACTACCAATTACTGGATTTTCTCTAATTCTATCATCACTTATCAAACACAAGCTTCAGTGATGACCTCAAACTGCGCAGCTGTCCAATACAATAGCCACCAGCCACATGTGGCTATTTTTATGAATTTAAATTAATCAAAATTAAATAAAATTAAAAATTCAGTTCCTCAGTCACAATAGCCACATTTCAAACACTCACTAGCCCCACATAACTAGTGGCTATCATACTGGACAGCACACATACACGACATTTCCATCACTCTAGAAAGTTCTATTGGACAGCACTAATCTAGAAGACAACGCTCATATCCACAAAACCTGTCTTCAACTACACATCTAGCTGGACATGAAAGAAATTAATCTCTAAGTGAAAAATTACAATGACAAGTATGACACAGTAGCTAGCACCATACTTGAGAAACGGCTGGAAAAAAAAAATTAGAAATCAAAGTTTTCTTTTTTTTCTTAGTCTACAATAGTTTACGAAGACTATTAAGACAATAGTGACAGATATAGGTGGTAGCAGCCAATATAATTAAAATGCTCCAGAATAGCACTAATTTAGTGTCAAAAAGTTCTTCCTAAACACATGAAGCAACTAATTCTACAATCTTCCTCACAGAATCATTGTCATGGACAATAACAGAATAGCAAAGAGCCAGGGCCTTTGCAGTCCCTCAGACCTGGGTTTGATGACCAGTATGCACTTTACTACCTAGATGATATCAGGCAAATTAATTCACCTCTTTGAGGTTTAGTGTCCTTATCTGCAAAGTGGGGAAACAGCTACCTTGAAGGACTCCCAATAAAGTATATGAAGCATCTAGTAAGATACCAGGCACAGAGTAGAGAGCTGAAAAAGGAGTAGCTATTACATATAATATTTTCCCCTTAAAGCTTCATGATGTGATTCCATATAGACAGATAGACACTATTCAACACAGAAGGCCAGCCTTCATAAACAAGTATCCTTAAATACTAATGCTGGTCATGTCACTCAACTGGAATAAAATGGAAATATTTGTATGCCCAGCCAATGTGTGACCACGCTGCCCCATGCAGCCTCACTTTGCCAGAACACTTTCATGCCATACTTGGCTCAAACAGCCAGTGTGGTCCCATTATGTCAGTCTTATATTTACTAGATCCTGGCTTAGGTTTTAGATAGAAGGACAATGTTCTATAGGCAAATAGTAAACTCTATCAAGGGATGCATGCATATTGCCAAGCGAATATAAAGCAATGGTTTCCAAATACTGGGACCCTGATGCCTGTTCAAGAAAATGGAAAAGGCTACTTCAGAAACACAAGGATAAGAAGCCTCATTCTCCCTTGTTGAGATGACTGAAGCACACAGGAAAACTGTAGATAGAAATCTTTAAAAGAAATATCGAACTGAAGCTTTTTTTCAAAGAAGATTTAAATAACCTAGATTATAATAACAGTAGTAATGAACTGGCAAAACATCCAATGCCTTATGACCTTTAATTACTGTGAAGTTGGTTTATGGTCAAGATCAGATGCAATGAGTGGTGCCCCTCAAGGCTTTAGTGGTTTTCAAAAAGTGTAAGTGACTTCTATTATTATTACATGTCTTAACCTCCAAATCTACCATCAAATGAACTGGGCGTGATAAACATGGATATGAGGTTCTTAAATTTTAATGCCCCTCTCAATCCATCCTATGCGTGCTAGGTCCAAGAAACATGGGTCTTTAGAGTCACGTGGATATGGGTTGGAATCCTGGCTTTGCCACTTATTTACTATGTGATCCTGAAGAAGCCGCTTCCTATCTTTGTCTCAGATTCTTCATACATAAAATACAAATATTAATGTGGCCCTGACAGATTGTTTTAAGACTCAAGGAATATCTATATATTCTTGAACTGTTCCTGGCACATGGAAAACACTCTGGAAATGTCAATTCTGTGAAAACATAGTAAGGGCTTGAGGTCCCAGTTTACTGTCTGAGACTCGTCCCAAACAGAGAATGGAAATAGAAAGGGTTCCAGGTTGATTGACAGCACAGGCCATTCTCTGTTTAAACTATAATTAAACGTACAAAGAG